CACGCCCACTCTGCGCCGTGATTGGCTGCGGCCGCGGCGGAGACTTCCTACTTGGCGTCTCATTGGACGATTCACCTGTCAGTTTATTTCAATTCGCTCAAGCGCCCACGCGACTACTCCGCCCGGAGAGAAAAGGAGGGCAGCAGACTCCCATGCAGAATGGACTTCTACATGACTCCGCTTTTCACAATAAAGAATAAGTAAGCGATCACTGTATAGAACCTCTATTAAGGGTCAAGTTACCATCACTAATGTTCATGCAATATAGCATTGCTGTGCAAAAAGGGACTTACAACTCGTGGCTGTTTACGTTTTTATCCACTTAAACTGTGTGTATGCTCCTCTTCTTTTAAACGTAATATATCCCTAAAGGACGGTGCCTGTGTCATTCAGTTACACTGTCGGGTTGAGTGATGTGAAAGACCTCTAGTACCATTCATTTGCCTGTTGCTTGTAAGCTGGTAATTTTCCACCAGCCACGAGTGGGAGTGGTTACATGATCATGAACGCACGGGGTTAGAAAAACGACTTGAAGGAGAATTTGTCTCCCTTATGGGCAACAGCAACAAAGTGGACCGTGGACGGTATAAAAATAAAGTGTCAGTAGCAGTAGAGACTCGAAATGTAGGGGCACTGTGTTTATTTAGCTAATTGAGAGCCATATACGGCGTGCAGCGCTGTCAATTGAGGATGCAAACATGACAGCGTTTTTTTTCTCCTTTGTGGTCACGTGGTCCAGCGCGCTACTTGATGGAAAAATACTGGATTTGGTGTGTAGTGGAGACAGTACACAACCCAGTAAAGTCATTCAGGGAGGCTTTTTCGAAGGGCGTTTGAGCCTTTACCCAGCAACACTGTCTTCCTCTCATCTGTACATGTCTTTGCTGTGCAGAAGAGCATTTATATACATTGTTTATGTTATTTGAAGTAGTGCCATTTCTGCAAACTCGTTTTTCTGTTCTATTGGACTTGATTTTATAAACAAACGTCACTGTATCCTTCAATGTGTTTTAATGCATCAGCTGAGGAAAGTCTGACATTGCAACAAAATCTTGTATTACTTTTTTATTTTGTTATAAAGTTGAACATTTGTCCAAACTCATGATGCATTATAATAGATCTGCTTAAAGAATAATATGCGGTTGTACTACCAGTGCATGCAACTATGCAAAGCATCATGTCATATCCTAAAAAACAGTACATCACTTAAAACATTTTTTTAATGTGCATACGATTTCTACAGAATTCCTAAGTAGACCTGCGTCATTATTTGCTTAATCTCCCTTTTCCAGTGATAATGAGTAAATTTAGGTCATTTTCTGGAGATTTCAATTTATTTTTCTAGTTAACTTGGGATAACAATCCTGTTTTTTCTCATCAGCATCATTATCCTGAGAAAATGTACTCATTGAAAACAGTAAAATAAAATGCCTGGATGTATATCCACTCTACCCACAATGGAAGTTATTATATCTGTTCACAGTTGGAGTGCGACTGTCCTTGGATCAGCCTCACACCCCAGACAGTTGGCCAATATCTGAGCCTTTGTTGTTAACAAAGAGAATGTCAAAGCCTGTTGTATGTGTTGGTTTATGGATGCATTTTGTTTGCCCTCAACCCCGATATATTCCTCGACTCTTCTGCCCCTAGAAAGAAAAATAAACACACACCTCTGGACACAAACTGGTCGGCCGGCTTTTCAGGAACACAGCAGTGTCTGAAGTTTAGATGAAGATGCACACTATGCTCCTTTGTATGCACTGTGTGCTCAGTTTTCCACACTTGTGATACAGAATGCAATATCAAATTGCCAAACAATTAAGCATGCATTTGACATGTAAACCACTGTATTGCATTTAGTATGGTCCAGAGGAATACATCAGAAAACATCAGCTATACGTAGTGGCAGTAAGTTAAAGTGATGAAAAAAAACGGGCCTCACACCACTAATGATAAGGGGCTAACAATATGATGATATAGTGATAATAGTGGTAACAATCATTGTAAGAGTAACTTAAATCATAACAGCACATTTCAAACAAGGAATTGAGCACATGACACAGGGAAGTCAGAAACATCAGCTTTACTTTCACTTTATAAAGTTGCACTTGTTTATTACAATTAAAGAAATAAATGCTCTACGATGAAAATCATTTCATTCAGAGAGAGATGTGGTTGAACTGCCTTTAGGTCCTCACTGTCAACAGAGCTGAGCTGTGAGTGCAGTGCTGGAATTTATTGTTACACACGTGTGAAGTTTGGAGGTAAGCAACCCCACTCAAGTGAGGCACAGGCTGGTTAAATCTCGTTCTGTCCGGTTCGGCCATGGTAGTCCATTTGCATGCATTATCGTTGCACCACACGGGAGCTGACCTCCATGTGGCAATCAACTTTTTTAACAAGTTTAATTTGCTCTGTTGGCTTCTTACTGCTGTTGTCCAACAATATAGAAAAACATCAGAGAAAGTGTGCACAAGTTCAGACAAATCAGACAATAACAAAAGTTCTCATCAAACGTATTGTAAAAAAAAACCTGCTGATACTTCTGCTGATTCTACTAAGAAAACTAATGTAATAATAATAATAATAATAATAATAATAATAATAATATTACAATGAACCTTTGTAACATAACTACCTTTTGATAAACCTTTTACTTGAGTCCATTCTTTAACCAGGAATTAGTAAAAACAAGTAACAGCGCCATCTTCTGCAGCTGATCCGTTTACAGTGTCACATGCGATCCTGGAGCGCCCTCTGCAGGGGAAACGTCAGACATGCACCCATTTAAACTGTTAAAACCGAAATACAAACTACGTTATGAAGTATAACCATAGACTGTAAAAATATCACACAATGTAAACTACTCACATTTAGACCATGAAAACTCCGTTAATGAAACACTTGTGTTTAATTTAATAAAAAACAAACACAGGGGAATCCTAGCTGTAGCTTCAATCTAGTTTTTAACTGGGTTAAAAAAGCATGTGTATTGTGCAAAATAAAGTACAGTCGGTGTACTAAATGAAGTGAGATATACGATTTCATAATAATCTTAAAGTTTATTTACATTTGAACTTCAACTGTCTTTCATATATGACTGTTTTAGTATCTGTTTTGTTCAATGTTCAAAGTTTAGTTAAAATGACCTCTATACAAGCTGATCTGTATTTCTAAACTAATCATTCAGAATTCAACCTTAATGTTCCTACAGCAGGTCTAAAGTCTGAAGTGTAAATGAAGAGTTTTATGTCTAACCTGAGGTCAGTGTCCTCAGCTGGGTTGCCCAGGTGAGGCTGTCTGATGTTCGTGACCCGAAACACCCTTTGACCCCCGGGATATATCACTGATGATGTGTCTGAGTGCATCATAATGTATGTTGCAAAAAAAAAAAAAATCTGAAATATTTGGAGATCTCTTTTCCGTCTTACTGCTTAGAGTTCTTCTAATCTCTAAAGGCTAGTTGACAGCTTCTGTTTATATGTTTTAATCGATATACTTCATGCTGTTAATCGGTTTGATAAAATCTGTTGGTCTCTTATTTTATATACAGACCTTTCTTTGACTTCTCTTTCTTTTCTTCTCCTTCGTTTGTTTTTGGCATATTTTTAACGACACTACTTGTTTTTTTTTAATGTTTGAAATAAAGACATCATTCAATAAAGTAATCCAAAAAACTATTATTTGACATCCTGGTGATTTTTTCTTTGTAATCTTGGACAAATATGTAAAATATTTTGAAATTTGTTCTCTGTTGGGAGTTTGCCCTGTTCAATGTGTGTGTGTGTGTGTGTGTGTGTGTGTGTTTTCGTGCAGCACGTGTTCAAATGACTGGGTAGGATTTATTTTGTGGTTCATTTGAAGTTCATTGGATTGTAGTCGACATTTTATTTTTTACTGTCCTTAATCTATTTTAAATGTCCTTTGTGATTTTTCTAATTTGTTGTGTTCATGTTCCCTGACACAGATTTATAAAGCAATAAAACATGAAACAGAGTTTTAAGGCACCTCTTCATAAATACATATACATACTGTATGTTGGTTTACTGCCCCCTAGTGTTGGATAAAGCATCTGCGTGATAAATACATGCAGGTGTTGCAACTTCTGGATGAGACTATTATTAAAGATCTCAATAAAACAGTATTTAAACCATCCGTCATTCTAGTCCAGCTGGTGTTTTGCAACTTGACCTTTAACTTCATATGAAAACAACATTAGCCATCTGTCCACTAGATGGCAGTAAAGATTCAAATAAAACATGAATCTGCAGCAACTCACCACATCTTTTCCTGGGAACTCTTCAGAAGCTCTCATGTCTCGTAGGTACTGTGAACAACCAATCACAGCATGTATACACTGCACTGCAGGCCTGTACAAAAAGAACAACCCATCTGACATCATCATTGTGTTGGTCCACTTCTTCAAGTTTACAACTAGTGACTTCAGTGCAATGAAACAGACATCTAAAACGGAACAAAAGCACCACCACACTCTTAAAAGCTCAAATATTTATTTTTCACATCCAGTACCAGACCAGCAGCTGAACTACTCCAAGGCGATGGAGCCGGTTGATGCACAAAAATGAGACGACAACAAATTATATCAACAGAATTCAAGGGTCTTAATCTGTATTTTGGTGGCATCTTTTTAGCAGATTGTTCTTGCTAATGAAACAGACAATTACTCAGAAACCTTGAACAGAACCTGTATTTTGTGCTGGTTTGTTGTAATGTATTGACTAAATCGAACAGAAGAAAGAAAGCTAACCTGTAGTGGTTCATAAAGCTTCAGACTCTTTATGTGCTGGACTATAGGATGGACATTTATGACTCTGAGACATGCAGGCGTCTTTCTTTTCTATATCAGCACCTAGCCCGTATTACCATGGTTACAAAGTATTTGCATGTAAACACACTCATTGTGTTTATGCTGGAATAATGCACTTTGTGGTGTTTAATATCAGAGATTTGTAAAGTGCACAGATCTAAATACAGGACAGACCTGGACACTGTTAACTTTATAAAACAAACACAGAGCATTACACTCAGGGAAGATGTCTGCTTCAAAGGTAAGTTTGTGTACTCACTTCACTCTGATCATTATGTCTTAACGATGATCCTTAACAATGTTTTCCCCTCACAGACGATCAAATTGTTTCCGTACCCAGACGTTGAATTCACCACCGAGGATCTGCTCCACGTGTCCTTGCCTTTTGGATGTGTCATAAGCGTCCAGGTAGCTTACACATCTGAAAATCCACTCTTTCAATGTTTGATTTTCACTCACTGTTGTCAGCATTTTAATAAAGATGGGGATGTGTTTTATTTTTCATACATCTCAGAAAATAGAAGATGTGGACATGCATGGGGCCTGGTGACTTATTCCGATGCTACTGATGCTCTGATGGCCACGATGGAACTCATCGACAACAAAACATTCACTGTGGGTCGACAAGCACCACAGAAGGAGAGAAAAGTCCAAAATAAAGGATCAGAAAGCCCTTGCAGCAAACCTGACTTTTTCCGTGAAGATGACTTTAATTACATGCCACCATGGAGACGTCACAGACCTCACAGACTTTATCCACCTGTGTACAGCCAGGTATTCAAACAATTTGAAGTCTCTATGTGGATTTAAAGCTGCCTTGATTTGAATTAAACTTCTCTTTTCCATTTTTCAGCCAGAGTATCTTCGTATTTACAACTTGACCAGAAACTTCCATCAAAGGCACAAGGTGCTCTGCCTCCTCCCTCTGAGCTCCACCATTGTGGAGGTACGAACTCTTAAGTCAAAGTGAGAGTGTGTGATCTAAAGTACGGGGGGACCAGACTGAAAAATAGGGACTAACAATGGGTGTGAAAAGTAAAACAAAGCCTTATTCACTTATCTGTGCCCTTCTTTGAAATGTGTCCCAGTACTTATTAATTGAACTCAAAGAGATGAGATGTATTTTAACTTTGACTGTGCTGCAAGGTTTCAAGGTTACCAGTACAGCTATGCTGGTGGGGCAGGTGATCTATGGGACCAATGTTAAATGTTCTAACCCCCCAGTATGTTATCCATCCATCCATTACCTTAATCGACTTATCCTGTTCGGGGTCGCAGGTGGCCTGAGCTGATCCCAGCTGTCTTTGGGCGAGAGGCGGGGTTACACCCTGGACTGGACTCCAGTCAATCACAGGGCTGACATATAGAGACAGACAACCAGCCACACTCACATTCACCTATGGGCGATGTAGAGACACCAAATAACCTAAAGAGCATGTCTTTGGACTGTGGGAGGAAGAAGGAGTATCCAGAGAGAACCCACACATGCACAGGGAGAACATGCAGACTCCACACAGAGAGGCTCCCGTCCGATGTGGATTTGAACCAGGAACCTTCATGCTGTGAGGTGACAGCGCTAACCTCCCAAAAAGATGTACAAGCAGGACCCAGATTTAAAAACATTGTCTGTGCGATCTTAAACAAATGCTTTACAGCCACCTGTTGCTGCTGTAATCAAAACGCTGCACATTCTGCACATCCACCACAAGATGGCGCTCTGGTCCCTCTGAAGTAAGCCAGATACATGCTACAGCTTAAACACTTCAACCCCACAGACAGACACACAAATTTAGTTTTTCTTTAATTAACTTTGATTGACGTATATTCACTTTCTCTTCTATTAATTCTGAATTATTAATGGTTCTTCTTGCTTGAAAACATTTATGTACAACTGAAAAACACTTAAAATAAACCACAAAGTAAAGTTCCTTTGACCGTGTGTTTTGTAATGCATTTTATTCTGACATTACCTTTCTGTTTATTTTAAGCATTCCCTGATGTAACTTTCAGGCAGTGACCTATTTTTCCATTTTAGTCCAAATTTAACTTCACATGATGTAGTTACATCAAACCAGAGCAGGAAATCAGTTTTGCGGTTTTGTTTGTCAGCTTGCAAAGCTTTTGACCTGAATTACTTCACAGAATGAACTTCTTTTGTTTGGCAGAAACATTTTTCCTGGGAGGAAATGTCTGGTTTTGTTCTTTTAACTGGACGTGTTTATGGGCTTAAAGATGAAGTCCGTATAGCTTTTAGTTTTAGGTTCCTAAAAAGGATGATGTGGAAATGGCAGACAAAGCAGAAGTCAACAAACGAGTGGTAAAAAAGAACATACTTGCAAGCAAATATGAGTATGAAGCAGCTTCTCTTTGGGCAGGAAAATCCCACCTGTTGCTACCTGCTGAGTTTACACATCTGCCAAATTTGACAAGAGGGTTGGCAGGAAACATTCGGGTAAAGACGTTAGATGATGTAAAGATGTTTCGTGCAAGTGTGAAAGCATAATTTCTCCCTTTTCATTTGTCCTATCATCATCATAATAATAATAATAATAATACATTTTATTTAAAGGCACCTTTCAAAACTCTCAAGGTCACCTTACAAAGAAGAGACAAAAACAACAAAGTAACAACACAACGATAAAATTAACATTAAAAACACAAATGTACAGAATGTAAAAGAGTTATGAGACCTATGGAGAATGATCAGACTGAATATGCCAGTTTAAAAAGATCATCTAAATATGTTCATAAAAGTAAGCTGACCGCCTTACGATCCTCAATAAACTGATGGTGCTTCTTGTGGATTATTTTCACATGTATACAGTTGGAAAATATCAATGTATTGACTCTTTTTTGACCTTTATTAAATTTGCCTTAAGTGATTTGTGTGCTCCAGCATTTTCTTTGTTTCCTGTCTTGAAGAAGGTATCCACTGAATTATTCTTTGTATGTATAAGAATCTTCTCTGAGAGCACCGACCTCCATTTGAAGAGTTTCCTTCTACTTTGAAATATTATTATTTACCTCATTAAAGGTAAACTAATTAATTAATAGTTCTATTGAACTGTTGATTTGGGGGGACTTGTGAGAAATGGAATAAAAGAGAATCCATGTATCTGGTCAAGACCAGATTTTATGGTTGTAAACTTTTCTGCATAAACTGTACAAATAAACCCTCTATATACTGTAGACTTCTCAGGTCAACTTCTTTTCTTCTTGACCACTATAGAAACCTTGTGTCCCGCTCTTATGAGTATGATTATAGCACAGCTTGATTTATAGCAGCAGAACTTGTTGCGATAACAAAGGCAGTCTGTCTGCAGATTGGAACTTGGGCATTGAAGCATTTGCTTTTTAGGTAAAGAAATGTGGTGTGCTCTAAGATGAACAAACAAAATGATCGGGGATTTTATTCCTCAAGGCTGAAGAAATGTATGCCAGAAAAGAAGACAATATCCTTGATATAAAAGTGGTTGATATTCCTCAGAACTTTTTTAAAAATACTGCATATTAGCAAATTTCCTGCAAACGTAAATCAGAATTTGATAGAAGGGCAACTGGTTGAAGATCTTGAAGAAGCCTTTCAGAGGAGAGGTGATACGTCTTCAAGATCTTCAACCAGTCCAGATGCCTTTGGATCAAGCTTTAAATGTACTGTGACCTGCAGGACGACTGATAGACAGACTTATTGCAAAGGTCTTTCTCACTCTTCATCTTACGTCACTGTCGCTTTTTAAAGTCCAGTCATCTTTAACTTTATCTTTTAACTGGAAGATTTAGTCATCAGATGTCTAGAAGTCATGTGAAACACACGCCCAGATGAAGAGAGAGAGAGAGAGAGAGACACTAAAGTGCAATGTACAACAGATTTGTTCGTTAAGTTTACAGGTATGTATCGGGGAGCCTGTTTGTATTAGAGAAGAGAAAACAACGATCACCATAAAGCTTTAAGAAGAGCTGGGCACTAATGAAAGAAATGAGTTAGCCTTACTCACTCCTCGTGATGTCCTTTCTGCCATGCACTGCGCCACCAGCGCCCCAACTGATGTGTTTTTATGACCCACAAAAGCAAAATAAGACCATAAGGGACATGATGGCATATTTGATCTTGTAATTATTTACATGTCTGACACTGCAGCTGCAGGGGAGGTGTCAGACAAAGTGTGTAACTGCACACTGCCGGGAAAGTTGCATTTTGGAAAGATTCTCAGTGAATGAATCATTTGACTGTGAACCTTTTTTTCTGGGAAAGCATTACGTACAGGACAAGATCAGAAGATAAGATACTAACCAAAAGTTTGTCACATTATCTTTAAAGGGATTTTTTTGTTGTTGCTTTACGATCCTTACTTTGAGAAAATGTTTTTGAGACATCTCAAAGTGCTTGTTAAAAATCTTTATTCTAATCCTAAACTAATAAATTCTCTCTTCTCTGAGGCATCCCATCATTTTCAAGACACTCTTCAAAGCTATTTTTTTCATTACAGCAACATCAATATTGATCTATACTCAAAATTAGTCATGAATGTATTTTATTCTGCCTTAGGCCTTTCCTTTAATTCAGGACCCCTGTAGAAGAGGTCTGCCCTTGAAACCCATTAAGTTCCAGTTAATAATTTCCTGCAGATTTAATCACAGTATAAACAAACTATAGGGCTGACAGCAATAACTACTAAATCACGATTTGATTAAGGTCTGAAATGAATGCATTCCTGTTTTTAAATCGTGATTAATCTCAGGCTATTTTGTCCCTTTAGATGCTGCATCTTTGAACGTCTTAACAAACTCTCCGACAGCTCAGCTGACAAGTCTAAAGTAATATCCACCTTATGACATCACACATTTCACTTTTTCTATCGTTCACTTGAGCTGTTTGGCTTTAGTTTTGCTAATGTTGTAACCTTTGATCTAACAGAAGGTCCTCACTGTATTTCAAAATAAAAGCTGGGTCACATTCAAACAGCCACTAACGTACTCTCAGCTTAAAGCAGGGTTGGTCATTTTTTTAAATTTTTAAATTTCCAAAATCTGAAAAAGTGTATCTGGAGAAAATTACCTACCCTGCCTATAAGACAGAACAAAACTTAAAAAAGCCTAACAATTTTTTGTTTTGAATGTGAATAATGGAATTTTAAACATGCATTTTAACATGCATGTGATTAATCACAATTGACTATTGGAATTGAAGGATTAGTTACAATTATAATTTGTCATCATTATTAGCCCTAAAACAAACATATACAAAATGATTACATCACCTCAAACACATTTTCAACAGGGTGAACTAGCATTTTTTGGATCCCCTGAGGGCCTGTGGATCTGGGCAAGTTTAAGGTTAAATTTGGGTGAAAATTGATTGAAATTCCTTTTTTTGAATCAGTTCAGTTTTTGAGTTTTTATTGATTTATTCTCTAAATATCATAAGAACATAAAAACTTCCTTGTAACTGTCATAACTGTCATATCACAGCCTGTTTCCACATCTGCCTCTCTGTTCTCTACCACTTCAATAATAGCTTGCAGCTGCAAAGGAAGGAGGTGTGTGTGTGTGTGTGTGTGTGTGTGTGTGTGTGTGTGTGTGTGTGTGTGTGTGTGTGTGTGTGTGTGTGTGTGTGTGTGTGTGTGAAATCCAGAGGGGGCGAGAGGTAAAGGGAGGACAAGCAGGGGAGAGAAAGGGAGGGAGGAGGAGGAGGAGGAGGAAGGAGGGGGCGGTGAAAGCAGAGCTGTGATGCAGACGTTGAATCACATGAGCAGGGATCTGTTTACAAACTGAGCCACAGACGAGAAGTGGAGACTAGGAGGGAGAGAGAGGAAGAGAGAGAGTGTGTGTGTGAGAGAAAGAGAAAACAGACAGAAAAGCCAGGAGAAGAGGTGACACATTGTGTGTTAGTGTGTTATGTTCCTCCCTGTGTTCTTTGTTCAGACCAGGAAGGCACAGGGATACATGAGACGCTGCTTCACACAGGAACACTGAGGCTGCCTCACTGACTGCCTTGGCTGCCTTGTTTGGCTCTTGTGCTGCCGGGAAACCCATCCATGTTATTCCCTTTGTCTCCTCTTAATTAGCTACGGCAAGATTTTCACAGCCAGAGAGGAGGACAGCAACGTGGAGACCTAACAGAAGAGGACAGAGGAAGGAGAAGAGAGGACGAGAGAACAAAGAGACAATGTTTTGAAACGTAGACAAAACATAAAAACAGAGACTGTGCTCATCCAGAGGTACGTAGAGAGAACTGGATGGAAATTGGAGTATATAACCTCAAACTGTCAGTGACATTGTTGTCTTTTTATCCTTTAAAGGCTCACAGGTTCATCTCCAAGACTGTTTTCTTTGTCTGTCAGTGGAGATAACAAAAGAACAATCCTTTCTCTGACACATTTGGGAGTTTAGAAATCAATCCATAGGGATGTTGTTGTTGACATGGTTTGGTGCTAAATCATCCCTGCAAACTGAGGTGTCACTGTTCAAATAAGAATCTGGGTATGTGGGTGACGTCTTCCTAAAGAGTCTCCAACCAGGACTGCTCACTTCAGACCATGTGGATGTAACTGACTGCACATCAAATCTGCCAACTTTCCTGACCCTTGAAAGTTATAACGGATTGGTCAAAGTTGTACTTTTGAGGAAACAAGATTTTGTGATATCAAGAGAGGTCACAACCCCCAAAGAGTTTGTGGATTTTTTTTGCTGACCAAACATCTGTACATTTGATGCATCCGGTCCACTGGTGTAACGGTAAGTGTCTGGAAGTTTGTTGCACGTTTCTGTTTGTTCTTTAGGATCATAGACTGACTGAGGCCTTGTTTATGTCAACAACTGGATTAGGAAGCTTTAATATTTACATTTTGCCTGCTATCTTTTGTTAATTTGGATAATTTGATCATTTGGATTTCACTGACTACATATAAATATGGACAGCACATCTCTGTCTCCTTTCATTGTACAAGAGTGAAGCCTTGCAATGGCCGCTGACATATTGTACTGGTGATGTAATACGAAGCAAAGACTTGCAGCTGGCTTGTGGAACCACAGAGTTCATCCCTTCTGCTTACCGAAACACACATTAACCTATCGATAAGCAGAATGGAGTCTTCTGTCAGTTTGAAGCAGACACTTCCAGTTTTGGAAAGTTCATTGACTGTATTGTTTAATATGAGTTCATTTTCTCTCACCTTTCCTCCTCTACATCAATAATCCATATAATAACACTGCAAGAAGCCTCATTTGTCAACAGAGCAAAACTACTCAGAAAGACATCAATCAGCATGATAATGACTATCGCTACAGAACCTGGGTTTGACAAATATTTATTGGACGTGTAATTTAACTTTACAGTTGGACCCATAGCTCTTCTGTTAAAATGGAGGAGGCTGGGTTAAGGCCCTGTACTGCAGCCTATCAGCAGGGGGAGCTCTTCTTTTCTTTTGGCTTGTCTCCTACTTACCATTAGTCCATCCATATTAATATAAATTCTATGATTTGGATCCAGTGTATACACATTTTCCTCTATCCTTATTGACAGCTGCAATGGTAACGTCTTGTCTTTGATTACAAGGAGCGACCACCTAAAGAATATCGTTTACTTTTTTTTTTTTTTTTTTTATTTTTTAGGCTTTTGTGCCTTTAATGCAGAGAGAGGACAGTGGACAGAGTCGGAAACCAGGGAGAGAGAGTGGGGAATGACATGTGGAGGGAGGCCACGGGTGGAGGTGAACCCGGGCCTACCGCTTGAGACGAGAGCCTCAACACATGGGACGCGTGCCCTAACCATTGCACCACCAGCGCGCCCCAAATATTGTTTACTTTTGTCCAAATTGGTTCAACATTAATAAAATGGCCAGTGTTGTTTTGAAGAAGACTTAAGATATTGATTTAAAACCCAAACTCATTAAGAAAATGTTTACCGAGGGATTAAATCAATTTATAAGTAGAACCTCTTTGCAATCCCTTTGTCGCCTCCTGCAGGCCACAAGAGAGAATGCAGGTTTAACACAGACTGTAATTAAACAGGGGCAAACCTGAATGACATCCCCCATTGGTTACTGATGGCGGCTTTCGATGCCTGTTGATGGCGGTCGCCATGCTGGAAACGTTGTCTCAACATAATCTTCAGTCAATTTAACGACAACGACCCTCCTCAGCTGAGGCTGAGGAGGGTCTTCTAGGACTCCTGACAAACAGCTACACCCACCAGTCAAGTCAGCCACCTGCATTATTATGAAAAATTATTATCCTCTCCCCGCATACAATGTGTTCCAATAAAGACATGAGCTAAACAGAACAGTATTGTTTTTTTTAACCAGGCTATAAACATTCATTCATTCATTCAGGTAATTGCAGTTCATGAGTGTCCACTTGGGGCTGGCTTTAAAAGACCCAGAAGTCCCACACACACTCCATATTAAAATGCCCATTTTGACACCCTGGTGTTATTAGTTAATTTCTTAATTGGCACACACTGTAAATTGTTTTTTTTATAACTCGCCGATTTTAGATTTAATGAAGGATATGAGTTTTTAATAATTAGGGGCTTGACCAATCAGACAGCAAGCTGCTGAGTTCTAACTGTTTGTCAGGAGGCTGAAGGCCCCGTCTCAGCTCCAGCTCTTAATTTCGCAGAAAGTTTGATAGAGTCTGAATTTTCAATATGGCAACTGCCGAGGATGGGCTTCCAGAAACAGCCCTTCAGAAACCAACGGGTGACATCGCTCATGTATCCCGAAGCTTTCATGACAATTTTTGCATTTATGTCAATGCTATGTGTGATTGGTCGAATTCCCAGTATCAACGACAGAGCGGAGAAGAACATTAATGGCAAAACAAAAAACATAATGTCATAGATTCATTACGTGAATGAAGACTGCAGTGGTTCTTCAGCGGCTGTGTGATATAAGAATCTCACTACAAATGGAAAAAGTCTGGATAAAGTCGGGTTGAAAAAATGAGACCGTTAAGCATTCACACATGCAGCTCATCCTCAAAATGTCAAGAAGGTTTCAGGAGTTTTGTGTGCATGTGTGAAAACTCCAATAGCAACATTTGTACATGTAGCTGAAGTCTCTGTACCAGCAGCTGTGTGTTACAGTAGCTGGAATGAATACAGGGAACAACCTTAGAAATGTATTATTCACAAACTTATGATGCACTATATTATATGTTTTATGACTGACCCTAACTTAAATATATTCCAAAAAACTGATCAACACATTTTAAGATTGACCAGTTTTGATAATTTTACAACAAATAACAAAAACATGTTAAAACAGAAGCTGTTCTCTCTAACAGCCTTCAGGTACAGTCTTGTCCAGACTGCATGAATTTGCCCACTGGCCTACCTTTAAGCGCTCCACTATCAATGATTCACTAACATTGTGCTAAGATTACATGCTGCCTCCTCCTTCACCCAAACCCTACAGTAGCTAACCACCACCCCACCTTCACTGTTAAACTTTAGTCTGCAATCCCCTAAACCCCATTAAACAATGACTCTGGAACCAGGAAGTCAAGTCAAAAGAATCATTTGACCCACTAGACCATAAGCAATAAGTCACTTGTGCATTTTAAGGCTTTCATTTCATTTTCAGGCATAAACATGTCCGTCTACTCGAGCACACACTCCAGCAAGAAACTAGGTAACGTTGGCCAAGAAGCAAGTGGAACAAATTCCTGTGTGACGCACCACTGGTTGTAAAAGTTCACATGAAAGCGCTCTGCAGATTTGAGCACTGTGGCAGAAACAAAAACCTGAATTAATCTTTTATAAAAAAAATCTTATCTGAGTTTCTTCCTTATTGCTTTGGATTCATGCTGTAAAGATTTTTACCTTACAATGCATCGAACTGGCTAAAGAGCTTTTGTCCAAAGCTACTTACAATAAGTGCCTTCAAACCATGTAGGACCAAGAGCTGGATGTGATTCAAATAAGAAGAGTTTCCCTTTTACATAAATAACTAAAGCATGTTATGCACCACTGCATACCTGCTTAGAGTTTTTTATAAGCCCAGATGAATTAGTACAAGTACAAACGAGATGATGATTGCAGTTTAAATATTCCAACGATAAAGAAGACAAAAGTGTTTTTTTTACACAAAGTTCTGCAGGACTCCCTTTGTTTGTCTTGAGTTTACAAGTTCAGACCCTTTCTGCAGCTCAGGAATCCCCACAGGGAAAGCAGTATTACATCCAAATCTGAAATATGAGGATCACAGATGCAGCGTGGAGCAGAGGCACGTTTAAGGCCTTACAAGTTACACAGATACACACACCCGGAGACACACCATAGGAGGTGGACAAAGAAAAGCACAGGATCGCCTGTCATATATGATGGGTTATGTTTCTCTCTGCTTACATAAAACATCCAGTAAGAGCTTACAGTGAAAGGCCATTATGTATATTACCAGATGCTCCACTGACAGTGAAAGGGTTTCCTGTGAGACGACAATGCTCACATTCAAACACGCTCCACAACCTCTCTTGAGACAACTCATTATGTCATTCAATTGTGCTTACATAAAAACCAACAGAGCTGCTTTGTTTGTGAAACTGCAGTGCTCAAATTATAAATCTAAATTAATCGATTAAATAAATTATTTGCATATTGTCACTTGTAAAGTTGTCAAAGGAGATTTTTTGGCAAACGCATCCTGCAGACACTGAGCTACAATAGGTAGCGACATTAGCATCCGCACTCAAATTATGCTAAATGTTTGTTTTCCATCAACTACTGAGAAAAATATCTGGCAGACTGCAGTTTGGTTTTCCGCAGTAAGTATAAAGATTTAGATTTGGGGCTGAAGTAGTTCAATTCCCTGTGCGGACCAAAGTATGGAAGTTTGTCTGGTCGCTAGAGAGGTGCCATGGTCACGTCCTGAGTACTGCTGGGGTGCCCTTGAGCAAGGCACTGAACCCCCAACTGCTCTGATATCTCTCCATTAGTCCACAGCTCTTGTTTGTGCATGTGTGTAATTCGGGCCTATGCGTGTGAAAAGCATGTCTCTCAATAACAGATTGTAAAACCAGAAATTCTCCTCAGGGATTAATGAAGTATTCAAAAAAATATATATATAAAGATTTAGATATAAAGATTATGAAATATTTCTGTGGCTGGAAACTGTAGAGGAGGAGAGCTGCTGCTAGACTTGAGTTGTGATTTTAAAAACCAAAATAATGCTCTAAAAGCAAGCTTAGTTATTTGTTTTCTTTTTGCAAATTTTCAACAGGAGCATGATGGGAAATAATCTCATAAAAATTAATCAAGGTATAGTCTTTGACATAATGCACCTGCAAGAGACACAGTTTTAGAAAATGTAAATTTAGGACGTCAGTCTTTACTGGTTGAGAACTCGTTCAGATTATCACTGTAGTTTGTGGCAGACTCATCGTGACACCTGCCTCATTATTGCCACATTTCAAATCCCTGCACTTAAATCTAGTTCAATATTTTAGTTATAAATTGAAAGACTTTCGCACATGCACTCCTAAAAAAATAATCAGAAAGTCTGCCCCTTTTACACATATGGCTCACAGCGTGAAGTTTTCCCTGTCAGACTGGGTGGGGGGTCTAATGGCCCTGACACACTAAGGGTGTGAACGGTCGTCGCCGTAGTTTTTGTGTGTTAGGCTCTGTCGCTACCCATCGGCCCTTGTCGGCCCTCGTCGGCCTCCGTTGGCATTCGACATGTTGAATCGGCATCAGCGGTTGGTAAGAGGAAACTCTCTGATTAGCTGTTTGGAGGTTCATTCAGCTTCATTACATTTGCAACAATTAGAAACCAACCTGCTTCCACCTGGTGTCATAATATCATCACCCCTGCTAGTTCACTTCCGTTGAGTTTTCTTGATTTCCTGTTGCATTCACACATCAGCTTAGTGTACCTCGACTTCAAATGGAAATCTTAGGGTGCTGGCAGGAAAAAGTCCCTGTGAAGACAGGGTGAAAAACTCTGCTGTCGTCACATATGCAGAAGTTTTGTGCACATGTAAAACAGGCTTTGATTTACTGTCAAACCAGCTTCTTGGTATGGAAGAATCGCTCCCCACAACAAGTGTGGGCCATCTGGTTTAGATACTTCAGGACCCAAAGACAGAAAGAATTATAGTCCTATCATCCAAGAAAATAACGTATACCAACATCAATCATATCAATTATGATGTGGGTACATCTTTGAATGCTTTTGAATGGATTCAAATTCTTGAAATGCCACATGTAAAACCAAACTTCCTTCACTTTAAACGGAGGGTGGTTGATTTATTCTTTGAGTTTCTAAATGCCACTCATGATGTAAGCTGCATTCCTAACGATACAGTTAACTGACTGTGACTTTGTTTGCTGAAATCATGCATATTAAAAAAAAAAAGGAAATGTTAATATATTTGCTCAAACATTTGACATCATGTTTGTGTTTGCATTATATCAACAGTTAGTTGTGTTCATGAGGGCCTTGTTCTTTGTTGAAAGATAAAGCTGAGTCAGATCACGATTCAGTTTCTTGAATTATTGTACGCTAACATGATGCAGTTTGTTGTCTGTAATGTCCTAGTTGTTAATACTTCATAGTCTGTGGGAAGTAAGTATTGCATTATGATCCACTCCAACACAAGTATGCACTCATATTTGAAAATATAACAGATTGCACAAAATACCAAATACTACCCAAGAGGATTTTCACCGTTCAAGAATACGTCTTTTTTTGCATCTGGTGCAACCTTAATATATAACTATATATGTATGTTTTCATCCTGGGGGTGAAATCATGATGCTTTAGCTGATTAAATTTGGTTTTTTTTGCTCCTGTGTGATCTTTGTTCATGTGTCTCGTCCTGTCAGGGTGTCTGTGTAACCTTGGATTGCAGAACGTCGGCCCATACTGCAAAATGTCATCTGAAGAGCTCTTCCACCTCCCACTCAACGTCTACATCATCGTCCTGGGCATCGGACTCTTCATTCTCATGCTCAGCCTCATCTTCTGCTGCTACCTGTTCAGGTACAAAGACGAGCCTGAGCTGGAGCTACTCTTATATGAGCATGCTCACTCAAAACAACAAACAATCACCCAGTTATGTGTAATCACTTCTGCCTCGGTACTCCTGAGTCTGTCTACGTGCAGCCTCGCCCTCCCTCAGAGTCAAATTCATCTTTTAAGTGTCACAGATCATTAACCTGTAACCTGCAGCGCATACCACAAGGGCTTTTCTTTTTTCCTGGTCATCACTTTCTCTCACTCTCATCCAACTCCTAGAATATCTACTTCACTTTTCTACTATATCACTCCTTATGAAATAATATGCATAACTAAATCAAAAGTCAAAAGGCTGTGTGACCTTGGAGTTCACTTTAACTGCACGTAAATCAAGAGAATCAACTTATTCATTAACATTTTTGACAACAGAGTAAAAAGACAAGTTTACATCATTATTGGTTTTTTCAAGTTTTTTACAAAGTTTTTTTTAAAACCTGGACCCAAACCTTCTAACTGTTGGATCTAAATGACAAAAGCCTGGTTTATACTTCTGTGTCAAATCTATGCCAGAGCTGGAGTACTGGTGGGGCAGTGGTTAGTGCGCACGCCCCATGTACAGAAGCTGTAGTCCTCCAAGCCCATCTCTCATCTATGCCACAGCTATATCAGGTGTGTGTCTGTGTCCTTTATATACTTACGGGTTGGTGTATCTACATTTGTATTACATGGGATCTCCCGTGTTGACTAATGTCAAAGGTTGAAGTGAACACTGCTTCAGGCTCATGCAGACAGGTCGCAGTTATGTCAGCATTCGGCTCCAGAGGTTCTGGAAAAACCTGTTTAAATGTTTACCTTATAGCTTAGAATATAACAAAAGACAGTGGGCTATGTCCTGTTTGTAGATTTATTTCATCTGGAAAGTCAGGAAGGTTTGTAGGCGTTTTCTGACCGACTCTTTAGCAACGATTATCCATCCAAACAACCCAAATACATGACACTGCAGTCATCGTTTTCATTTTTCATTTTTGTTAAATTGTATTTGTTTTACTCGGTCTTGTCTCAGTCTCAGACTTGGCGGACTCCAAATTTAAATCAAGACCACCACTGACAGACTATTGGTCCACGTAATTACTGTAATTAGAAGGCCTTTATATAAGAAGTAATAACTTCAAATCATTCATAATTTCATTTTTTATTCCCCGGTTACGGTCGCAACCTTCCCGGTGTTACGGTCTAAGTGAGTGACACGCCCCCTGTAAAAAAGATGATATTGATATTTATGGTCTTGGACTGTTGGTCTTGTCTCGGTCTCGCCCTGCGTTGTTCCTGGTCTTGTCTCGGTCTCAGAGCACTAGTCTCGTCTCGGGAAACACTAGTTCATAGCATGGCACATATAATTAGATTAACCAAACAACACATATATGTAAACTCCTTATGACCCATGACTCCCACTTTTGACAGTTTCTGACCCCAACAAACGACATGAACGTATAAATCCTGAATCCTTTACAAACTCCATCCCCATGAACAGAGCAGGAGAGTTCTGCTAATCAGAAGATCTTACACAACGGCACGTTCTGCAAAGGTTGGACGTATATCTGCTCGTGCTGTGCGTCCTTTCACAGGCTCTTACTTGACTCTGACATTGTGTGAATTCCTGAGCTGTTTTAATCTCAGCTGATTCACGCAGCGTGACAGGACCTGTCCTAAAGAAGACAGATCTGTAGCCAGCAGGCAGACACTACCATTTTTATGACTTCAATTACAGCTTGATTCATTTTTGTGTTTGTTTGTGTGTGCTTCACAGACTCAGGCGACAAGGTTCAAGAGAACAGTACGGATACAATGAGGTAATACGTTCAAACGATATGCAGGTGTTTACTTTATTCAGACTGTACTCGTTTGCTGTTTTGATCTGATATGCATATTGAGATGAATCTTTCCTTGTCGACAGGTCGTTTTAAAAGGAGCCGGGAAGAAGCTCAGTCTGCTGGGGGTAAGTTGAACACAGTGTAGATGCTAAAAGCACTAGCTACTGCTAACTGGGTGGTAGATAGAATCATTGCAAAACGGACTGCAGGGAGTGGTTTCAAATGCAGAAAAAAAGAAATGATGCTTTTACGAAAATACCCAGAATTCCAAGAAATACTCAGAATATAAATATGGATCGTAGCAACTGAATGGCTGAACTACTGTTCTGGCTTTGAATATTGCACACCGAGGAGTAATGATGTACTCGTATCGGGTTCAACTGAAAACAATGAAGGTGACGGCCATGTGTTTGGTTCTTTTCAGCAAATGTGTGCAGTGTGTTTAGAAGAGTTTCGCAGCAGGGACGAGCTTGGCGTGTGTCCGTGTTCTCACGCTTTCCACAAGAAGTAAGTGGTTTCTGTTCTTATTCATCAGTCTGTGACTATCCAGATGTCAAAGTTGGCTCTATTTTATATTCTTCTTCTGCTTGTTTTGACTTTATTTTGTCTGTATTTTAGGAAGCCTTTCTAACACTCTGTCCCTGGGCCTCCATGTGTGGTGGTAACTGTGTCTGCAGAAACCCTGTCCTCTGGGTGCTCATGTCTTGTTTCATTTTAGTTGACTCAGGACGTTTCTTGTCGGAGAGCCTGGGTGTTTAGCCCAACCAATTACAGAGCGCAGGTGGAGTTTAGGAGTGGGTACAGTTCAGCGAATGGACGCCATTCAGACCGGCCAATATAATGGATGTGGACGTAGCGGAGAAGAAAAGAGTAAATATAGTGAGACAAAATGCCAAGCAGATTAAGCTCTTTCCAAAACGAGGGTGAAACTTCAGTTGGCATTTACCCGTGGACGTGGAGTTGGCCTGCTTTCTGTTGGACAGGCAGCAAACACCGGTTGTTAGCTTGTGCAAGCATGCAGTAGCTTGCAGTGTAGGTACACAAGCAGTACACTCAAACAGTCCTGCAGTGAGTGTGCACTTCTGGGGGCGATGAGCCCAGGAGGAGGGGCCCAGTTTGAATGTTGTTTACAAACTGCAACAACGCAATTGACACCACATTTAATGAGATTGGACATTGATTCCATATTTAAGAACATGCTAAACTGTTTCTCAGTGTAACATTCAAATAAAAAACAGGATTTGTTAAGTTGTTTACACAAACTGGTGATCACACTAGATGGATTCTTTATGTTTGAGAACAGTCGTTGTGTCTGATAATCTGTGGTCAGAGGCTCCAAATATCTCACTTTTTAAAACCGCAAAAGAACATCGTTCTGGTTTTGATGACTTCATATTTTGACTTCTCCAAGGGCCAAAATGTCGACTAACCAGCCCGAGGAATGACTCATAAATTCCTCTGCATGATTGACTTCGCCTTCGTGTGCACAGCTCGAGCAGACAGAGAAAAAGTGAATTTCAGAGAGAGATTGAGCAACCTTTTCAGAGAGCTGTGCAGAAAATGTAGAGCAAATTCCTCTCAACATGTGTCCCTGCGTGTGTGAACATGAGAATGCTTTCTGCAACTGAGACCTTGTTTTGCTCTGCAGCGAAGGTGTGACACAGAAGACCATGCTTTAGGACCGGTTTGACTTTCTCACTTTCTCTAACTTCTGTTTTGGTTTCTCCACAGACCACCCTGCATACGTCAGTGTTTTTTCTCTTCCTTTAAAAAATAAAACACATTCATTTGTCTCTGCTTTTCTCAGGTGTCTGCTAAAGTGGTTAGAGATCCGCAGTGTGTGTCCAATGTGCAACAAGCCCATATGTCGCCTCCAGCCCGACCCCCCACAAGCACCTGAGCGGCCACAGAGTCTCCTGGAGGTCTGAGAGGGGGACACCTGTCCAGCACCTCCTCTGGCTCTCTCTGGACATTTAACTCCTGCCACTATGGAGCATTGTGTTTCACTTTCCCGACAAAAGATTGAAATTTAAGTAATGCAAACATTTTACGAAGCAGAGCTGCTCTCTGAGGAGATATTGTAAAACTGACTGAGTTGAACCTGAAGTGCAAACCGAGGACCTACTTTGCAAACATGGAGCAAAGAGCTGATGGTGATGACTCATTTACAACCCTGATAGGCGTTCACAACAGAAGATTCATTTAAATGATCAAGCCTTCAAAATTCTGCACATAGCCAGATGCTTAAAGGAAAACCTGGATGCTACTTTCACATGTTTTCTGTTGTGCAGAGGTCAGATAAATTTGAAATAGTCTGGCAGATTGCCTCATATCACCCAATCAAAGTCCAACCACTTGAGTCGCTTGTTTTTGTCACTGACGGACTTAAACGATTATTTTAGGTGATTGACAACATAAAAAAGACTTTTGTAAAAACAGGCCTCTTTGTCTAAGGTTTAGAACCAGAAACAGCTGTTTTATTGATCTCTTCAAAGCCACCAGACTCCATTAACAAAAAGAGTACTTTTACATTGTAGAACAAACAAGTCTCTATACCACTGCTACCTTATTCAGTTAGATTTCTAGTTAATTTTATTTACTACTGTGTTTTAAGTTGGTTAGTTGGAAGCCACCGCAATACGTGTTTGACATGAATCAACTGACTGTGGCAGCTGTAGATTGGCAACAACCGTTATTTGTACGGTTAAATTACTGTTTTTGTCAATGGAGTCTGGCAGCTTTGAATAGGGTGACATGTATCTTAGTTTTTCTATTTTAGAGGACCTAATCCAGCTATTTCGCTGCCCTCTTAAAAGCCACAAAACTCCACTGTCAAAAAACTCACTCTTACTTTGAAGGAAACAGATATTGCAGCCTCGTTCACTTAGTTTTTTTTTTTTTTTTACTTTGGTGTGTTAAATGGTTAGCTAACACCATATGTGTTTGACATAAATCAACACTTGACAGTAGCAGCTGTTGATTGCAGGTGAAATTACTGTTTTTGTAAATGGAGTCTGGCAGCTTTAGACAGGGCAACCTACTGGCTGTTTCAAGTTTAAAAATTGTATCTTTTGCCGTTTTGGTGGACATACTTTGACCATTTCCATTTTCTGACATGTATTATGTTGCAGTCGTTACAGCGATGTGTGGGTGAGGTGATCATTTGGAGCAGATTTGAAATGGTTTGATTTCTCTTCTCATCTACAAATCAAAATGTATAAAACATGGGAGGAGTCAGGGAGGGTTGACTCCTCCTTCAAGCTTTAGTGCACAAGTGCCTTAAAGTTGCATTACTTCTAAAAGGCCAACAAAAAATCTGAGTCTTCAAGACTTCTCAGCTCATTCTTCTTCATACTCATGAATTACTGACTTACAGTGACAGACTTTAAAATTGTTTCTTAAGAGGCTCAAGAGAGGCTGGATTTACCTTTTGATTTGATTGGCTGATCAATGAGAACATGTATCGCAAGAATTCAATTGAGAAAATGAAAAAAGAATGCAATATATGACCGCCCTCTGCAAGTCACACAAAGGAATGAAAATGTACATTTGGACATTTGAGAGACTTGATCTGTCAGCAGCAGCACTCAAAGATTCTTACATTTACTCCTTGTTGTATTTAGGTTACGCATAAAATAGTGAATGAGTGAATGAGCCATAAATCCTGAACCACAAAGGGCTCATTCACAATCCTACAAATGCTACTTTTTGCACAAGTTTTTTTTACGGGCTGGTACATGCTACTGTAGCCTTGTTAATAGATTCAGTTGAATAAATTCTTCAGCCTGCAGGGAAAATGTGGTCAGCTTCAGACCCAATAACTTCATTATCTGTTGTGGAGAAACTTTGGAAGAGATACAAAGTTTATTACCATGTAACCACATGTGGTATCAAGATCAAATTAACTTTTAAAATTGTGTAATCACGTGCACATATATATCGTTGGCATCAATGCAGAATTTGGAAATCTCCGCCTGTTGGAAAATGCTTAAATTCCTGATCTGACAGCTTTAAGGTGCTGTTTACTTCGGCTTCACCCAAACAGCTCTGTGGGTCCTTCAGCATGTTGAGGATGGTGTACAGTTGCAGACTTCTGATGTGACCAAACTAAAGAGATTATTCCTGCCTCTGGAGCAGATCTGACTCTGACAAATGTTTGCATGACAAACTTCAGTCTGGCCTATTTCAGTTCAAGCTGACATGCAGAAAGCGCCCCACATAAGTAAGCCATGTCTTTCATCACAACTTCAGAGCCCGGGGCTTGGATATAAGAAAATTCAACCACCAGACACCAGACTTTGAAGATACCAGGCTAACCTACGGCTCATTGTTGCCCCATATTTGAGGCAAATGCAGAGACTGTGCTGGAAGACGTTCAGCTGAGGACTTGAAACCAAACAGAACAATTGTAAACTAACAGGACTGAATGGTGTGTATTTTGGTTGTAATCTTCCATTGTCTAACCAACTCCATCCTACAATGTGTTGCCAAGCCTAATTAAGCCCTAAATGGAAAGATGGATGAGTCATATGGGATCTGATAGAAAAGACAACTGCAGGCTGTCACATGTCCGTGCAGCTTAAACCATAGACTGTATATAAAGAGGTGGATAAAGCCACCAGAAAAATGCTTTTAGTTTGCCATTTAGGCTCAGAAGTGACCTTATTCGAACCGGAGGGTGGATCTTAAGTGGAGTTAAAGGCTAAGTTATCCACATAGACTGTACACAACATACATGTAGCAGCAGTGATGTCACCAACTGGTTTCTGAAGAGGGGTCTTGATGCCGAGCGACGGCAGTCAACATATTAGAAATGCTATCTCCACCTAACTTTCGATGCAAAAAGGTAAAGCTGAGGAAGTCCTTTATCCGCCTAGCATTTGGATACCATACATCCACCTGTCAGTCAACTAAACCAGGCTCCGGTTATGAAAATGAATTTAAAACTTGTAGCATAAATGTCGTTAGAGTGGATGAGTTATACAAAGAAATTCACACCCCATTCAGATTGTATCAACAAAGAAATGAGCTATTTAAACCAAAACTGTTTTTTTGAACCAGTCTGTAAACATGTTCTTCTTCTTTAAAATGTAATATTTTAATATGGGACCTAATGGGGATTCCTTGGTGTTTGCAGCCAGCCTCAAGTGGACACTTTAGGAACTGCAGTTTTTTGCACTTCACCAAAAAGTTATTGCTTGGTTATCCGCTAGTTCAGCACAAACTCAGTGAGCAAGGTGCATCAATTCCTCACAGTGTTGTGAATTGGGATGCTCATTAAAGAACACCTTTTTAAACACTGAAGCCCCATATTTGAGCACAAAGACAACATATCAGATGTTGAAACTGAGAAATGCCATTGTTTTTTTGGAAAATAATATGCCGAAATTTAAACTTGCATGTTTCACAAAAGGTTGGGACATGGTCCTGCTTACCGCTCTGTAGTGTCATCTTTTCTTTTAAAAAGAGTTTTGGGAACCGAGGAGACCAATTTCTGTCATTTTGAAAGTGGGATAATTGACTTTTCTTGCTCAGTAGGGATATGAACAGTTCAGGGGTTTTCTTAGGCATATTATTGTTATTTATTATAAGATAAATATTTTCATTGGGTGACTAGTTGGGAATGCAGGCAGGTTTGCCATTTTCAATCAAACATGGGATTTTAACGTGTTGAATACAATTACATTTTATCTTTTTATTTTACACTTTACAAAATGTCCCATTTTTTTTTTAAACTGGGTTGTACAATATAATCGCCATGCAGACTCAAAACTAGCAACTGAAACCAAACACTCATTATGAAAATGTTTCCTGAAGTAATACATCAAGAGTAGGATCATTCTCTCATCTGCCATCATATAATTAGTTTTCTTTATGCAACTTGTAGAGTCGCCCCCTGCTGGCCATTTCAAAGAAGAGAGGTTATGTCCACTTCTTATATACAGTCTATGGTTACATTGAACTGAATCAACCAATGAAATAACAGATGTGTTGTTTTTCCAGCTGTATCAAGTGAACTATTTTGGCTTTAATAAGTAAACGGTATCGTGTCAGTGATGGTAAAAACACTTTGACTGTTTTATGTGAAATACTTGGATGTTATCTTTACCAGTGGGACAGAAGTGAACAGACAGAAATCTAAGCTCCAACAGTCAAAGACCTGCTCAGCGGTGTCGTGATAAAAATAGATCCACTGCACTGATACGACGAGCCTGTTTGAGCTGGTTTCTTCAGAGAGCGCGGTGCTGCATTAACTACATTCTGTGTATGTACTGTGTAATATACTATGAGTACTGTGCATATTGTAAATGCTTATTACATTTATGACTTTGAAAGTAAAATATAACCAGTGTTTTGATATGTTCCTTTGATCCAAGTCTTTTTTTTTAAGTTTGCTGTTTAGTTTATAAGAAGTGTGTATGTGACTGAAATGTTTTTACCAATAAGGTGCCATTTAAGAGAAAACTGAATTCAAGAGTAAGATACTGTTCATTTTTTTATGTAATTACAGTAAACTATGAGAAGTGCTGCTGCCCTCTACAGGCAATAACATGCAATTACTATAAACAAATATTCAATGTCCCCAGAGGTTAAATCCGGCATTAAATAATCAAACATTAGCTTGCTAACTGAGGCTGTGCAGTGGCAGAAACATGTTGATACGATACGTATGAGGGTTTGCTGGTCATGATTGAATAAGTTGCAATGTAATGCATTTTAAATTAAATTTTAGGAAAACTGCCATCATATAGAACAGATTGCCATTTGCATAGAAACTTGAGTTGAAAAAGGAAAGTTTGCTTTTTTATTCATTCAGAGAAAAGTGATGGATTTGTTTAAAAGTTATAATCATAACGCTCATTTTGTTTTTTGTTCAATGCTAGCAGAAGGATAAACATTCCTAAATATTAACAAAAAAGTATTCATGTCAACTATTCTAGTTTAAGAATGGACAGAGTTTTTAAAAGATTTGTACACTTTTATTTTAGAGACAGGACAGTGGATAGAGTCAGAATGTGGGAAAGGAGCCACAGGTCGGATTCGAACCCGGGCATATAGCCTCTGTACATGGGGCGCGCACCTCCATAAATTCTTAAAAATAATGTCTAGTGCTGGTTAAAACAGAAAAGAAGAAGTTACTTACACATGTCCAAGACCAGATTCCTAAAAGTAGCTTCAAAACATTGACTTAAGGAATACTTTTTGTAGTTGCACGAAAGATAACTTTTGGACACAACAAAGAGTTGTTGAGAAAGTTGAGTGTACATTTTGCATATCTTTTTTGGCAAGACTGATCATGTTTCCATTTTGAACACACTTAAGCCCTGATATTAGTCGGGGAAAACCAAGTCCAGACATCCTCCTTATACAATGCATCCTTTATATCTCTTTTTTTTATGTACTCTGATGGAGCAGCATGAAACAACCAACTCTCCACACTTTAATAAACGTCTCTCAAACCTGGGTGGTCTCCGCTCATTCACACATCAGTCAGCTATCAGGAGAGATGCTTACCAAACTTTTGTAGATAATCTGAGGAAGGCTGCCAAATTATTTCAACCTTTTGTTATAGCTTTACAATTAATTAAAAGTCCAGGTATTGCATTAGTTTTCTTTGAGATGTATCAAATTGTGCCCTCCTTTTTTTAAACTGCATCTGGCACTTGCATTAATCCACTGGTAATGGCTCGAATTGGATTGGGGTGGTTTGCTTCTAAGTACTAAAGAAACCATACACAGGAGCAGGGTCCTTTCATATTCATGAATCAGTTACTAGATAATAGGTTCGTTTGCAAAAAAAATAGTGCCCTGAGAGTTTTGATTAGCACTTTAAATAAAACTGTTTTGTGATCCAAAATCTTTTCTGGTGCAAAAACCCAATACAGCCTGCGAAACTGGGTCAAAAATACACAACTTCAGTCTGAGTGTTATTACCTGAAATAAAATGACTACAAAGTTTTGTGTCGAAGAAACTTTTAGTTTTTAACTTTTTTCGAACAATAATGTTTTTGCTGCTTCTCTTTAACCCTTCGTTGAAACCTTAAGGTATTTATTTTCTGCAACAGTTACATTTACTAGATTTTAAATCACTTATTCTCAGCTGTATGCTTGTAAAGGTCATCCCACAGAGGCTTGTTAATCTGCTTTCAACACTGAATGTAACCTAACGTCTTGCTCCTAAATTCTGAAATATGGAGTACCCCATGGCTGTATACTAAGCCCTGTACTTTCCTCTCTAAATGTTTCAGCTTTAGGCCTTATTGCATATGCTCATAGAAGTAATTTCACCCTTAGGCTGATGATACTCAGCTATTTGTGAAGGGGGGGTGACCTTGTGACCAAAGGTCATCCCCCAATTTATGAATTAGATACCTGCTTGTCTAATTTTTTTTTTAGTGTCACGTAACTCCCATGCTTTGCTCTTTTGATTTGTCAATCTTAGGCCTAAATAGTTAAAGAAATATAAAAAACTACAGCTGTTTGTGTTTACATAGACATACAACATAGACAACAGTTTGATCACACTCACTAATTGTGTGATTTCACAAAGATTACAAAGATTGTTGGTTCCCTCTCTTTGGTCAGAGTACACGAAATCATCAAGAAGCAGTTGTTTCATATGCACTCTGGATAATATCTAGATAATTACAGGAGGAACGCTCTGGAGATTCTCCCGGCCTAGCCTCACAGCGGGGGACTTTCCCTGTCAGAGGGGAGGGGGCTCAGGGGATTTCCTGAGGTAAGATGTGACGTAAATAAACAACGCAGAAGTAGCGGCCGTAGCAACAGAGTCCGCTACACAACGTTATAATGAGAATATTTGCCTTTATATCAATGCCATGTGTAATCCAATGGAATGACAACATTCACAAAAGAGAGGAGAACAACATACTGACGAACAGAAAACATAATGCAGCCGTTTAATTACGTGCACGGAGATCGTAGAGGTCGTGGGCAGACATTTAGCCGGTCACTATATAAACGTCATTCTCTTTCCATTGGCTGGAGTTGAAATCTCCGGAGTATATTCGGCCGCGTTCAGACATCAGCTCACTCGGACTTTCTGCGGATAAATTACTAGGGGTCTGGCCGGAGAAACTCCGGGTAAAATCCGTGCGAGAAATGTGTCTGTTTGAGTTCACACATAGCCTAAAGAACCTCCGGGTAGCCAAATCTCTGGAGTTTTTCAGGAGATTTCTGTATGTGTGAAAAGGGTTATATATTAACATAACTGACTTTTGTTGCCTCATTCAAAGGGTTTGGCTTCTCATGTACAATATGCTAACAATGCATAGTGTCCATACTATAAGTCATTTGGTGTTTTCTGTAAACATACAATCTATTTGTTGTATGCCTTTATTTGTTGCCAGCTCTAAAAAATGTCCGAAAACATTACCTGTTAATAGCTTTTTTTCTTTTTGCCATGGAAGGTTGTTGTCATTGAGTGCTAGTAAAACCCTTTGAAACTTGTGATATCAGGCTGTATGTATAACATTTACTTTCCTTGTAAAACTGAGAGTGTTGCAGTGATGGAATAGTTATAACTATTCAGATCCTCTTTATCCTCTTAACATTCCCTCCACTTGGTGTAACCAGGTAGTTTCTGCAGAATAACAACTGCTTACTGACACCAGAGCGTTCTTCTGGTTAAATGTTAACTCTTGGGAGATTATACTTTGTGAGAAAACATTGACTTGTTTTTAACATCCAATGAATAACTTTGGGAATAGATCAAATTTGCAGTACCTTATGCCTTGCGTCATGCAGTTAGTTGCTATGTGGATCACAATGGATCAAGATAGCATCTAAAAGCTCTCATGACATTTTTTTAAATATCCTGATGTCATGACTGGGATGGGAATTTCCAGACATCCGCTCACTCTGTGACAGCTTTGTTGTCTGTGTTTGTGTAGATGTAGACACAACATGAAGGGCTGCTCAGTAGACCACAGGCTAGTATTTGAATAGTCTGAAAATGGTGGAAGCCAATGGGAAACAATGGTAACTATTGGTTACAGTAAATGGTCAATACAGTTCTTTCTCTAGGTGTCCTTTCAGAGATTGTTGGGAATTTACAAGAAGAGTGAGTGAACCTGTAAAAATAGTCAAATCTGTTAATTTGTAAGGTTCTTTTAATAAATTTAGCACCAGAGAAAACAACAATGGGCCACAATAGTCAGTGGTGATTCTAGAGTCTTTTAGGGCCCTAGGCAAAAAGTCAGTGGGGGCCCCTCCAGCCATCATATCTCCATTATATCTGCCAGTTTCCTGACGCTTACTCATCTTCCTCTTCTCTCTTTACTCTTTCACTCCCAGGGGGATAATTTCTCTTCATTTTCCTTCAGTGAATTTCATTGACAAATATTAGTTTTTTAAAGCGAAAATGCATGCCACGCTTAGCAGAGCAACAAGAGGGAGTGCTGTCAGATGGGGACCCCTTAGGAAGGAATGTAACTGTCATTGCAAAATTTGCACATCTTGCGCGACTGCTGTGGTTTGAAATTTGTCAGCCCTATGGGACCCCCTACTGGCCTGGGACCCCCTACTGGCCTGGGACCCCAAGCAGTTGCCTGCCTTGTTTATTGACAAGCAGCGCCTCTAACAATTGTAAATCCAAAGCTCATTTTAAAGCTGAAGGGTAGCTCCATTACAACAATAATGTACCTCTCTAAGGAGCACTTAATGTGAGAAAAGCTGAACTAAGGTCTCATGACATAAACAGAGCAGGGACTATACTTTGTGGAGCCAATGGCCACAACTCCAGGTGGATGAGTTTCATTAACTGAAGCGTAAAACAACTTAAATGCTTAAGGGTGATGCGTTTCCAATCTCCACAAAGAACATGGTGTAAATTCAGTCCTTAAAGAATGTCTTTACCCCAAAGTGCTGCTGGGATTGTCTAAGAGCAGATTTCCAAACTCTTCTGTGCATGCCATTGCAACAACTAACACCATCTTTGTGTAATTGGGGTTCAGAGTTGTAGTTGTAAATCTTCATATCATAAAAATGTTCATGGCCCTTTGTTCCTTAATTTGTTGCTCAAAATATATCCAAAATATGCAAGCTGCCGTACAGTGCATTGTCTTGTCATAAGAAATGTATTATTACTCTGTCCAACATCTTGTAGCTCATGGAGGCTTGTGCAATTGTGGGAAACGTTGCTATGCTATGAATGATTTGTAGTCCATTCATTGAGGGGTTGTAATAACCCGCCTGATGCACCAAAACACATGATTTAAGGTCCTTTCTTTAAACTGTAATTAAAATAATTGCCATAACTGCTTCTACATATGTCCCCGTCCCCCCCCAACATTGTTGTGGTTGCATTGAATGCTGGAAGTTTAACTGTGCTGATGCATATTTCCAAA